CCTCTTGGGGTCTCTTCAGGGCCTCTTGGGGACTCCTGGGGGCTTGTTGGGGCCGAGGACTCGAAATGTTGTTTCGTGTTCCCCCCCCTGGGACCTCTCTTCAGGCGTTCGTGGGGCCTTCTTGGGTAGTCTTGGAGGCCTCCTGGGCCGTCTTGGAGCCCTCTTGGGCCGTCGTGGGGCCCTCTTGGGGGCCCTCTTGGGGGCCTCTTGGGCCCTCTTGGGGCAATCTTGGGGGCCTCTTGGGCCGTCTAGAACCTGAGGAAAAGCAATGATTCTTGCCTCTTGGGGCCCTCTTGAAAGTGCTCCGGGAGGCCTCTTGGGCCGTTTGGAGGCCATCTTGGTCGTCTTGGAGCGACCTTGTGGCATCTCGGAGTTCTCTTGTATCATCTTGAGGGGCTCTTGGCGGCCTCTTGGCCTCTCTTGGGGCTCTCTGGGCGGCCTCGAGGGCGGCGCCCAGGAGGAAAATCATCTCTGACCCGAGTCGCCTGGGACCTGCCCGGGGTACTTTTCGTCCGGGGACCCCGAGGGGCCGTCCCGCGCGCGCGAAGAAGAACTATTGCAAAGCAGTTACAGGAGTCCTTAGCACGCCTCTGGCCCGTTTGGCCGGCGAATTCAGGGACGGCCAGGGGGGGCCGCATGGTCCTGGGTGTGTCGCCAGTCGGGTAGGCGAGGGGGTGTCTATTGTTAAGGAACAGTGATGAAGACACCTCTCCCAAACGCAAACTGTTTGTCTCACTCCCACCCGCCCTCCCAACACATAAGTAATATCCGAGTCTCAGCATATTCAGCGGCCTCCTTTGGATGGAGAGCTACTGGGAACCAATACGGACCCCAGGTGCGCGACGCCAGGCGCGCCACGCTCACCAGGCGCGTCAGGCGCCCCTTGGGGGCCAGAACATGCCAGGGACGCTTAGTGCGCCAGATGCGCCCCACGTGTGCCAAGTGTGACGCATGCCCCAGCCGCGCCACGTGTGCCGTTCGGGGCACGCGCAGAGTGTGCCAGGTACGCAGGCGCACATCGGGAATCATGTCGGCCCCTACCATCTTTTCGAAATCCAATACGCAAGCGTGGCGGAGTGGCCATCGTGATGGCTGGTGGGCCCGTACACATCAGTCAATATTCCAGCCCTCCCGCCGTCCGTATCAAAAACCAATGCACAGTGATCGCGGGATGCCCGCGCATGGTCCAGATTTAGCCGCGAAATACAGTGAGTCTTGAGGTGGCCCTGCGGACAGCAGGCCATACGCGGGCAGCCCCGCTGTCCGTGTCAATGGCAATGCAACGTGCTCGCGGGACTTCCGAACATGACCCATTATTTTGCCACGAAGTGCACTTTGCATTGTTTTTAACGGGGGAAGCCGGTGGATTGCCCGCATTGTGTTAGGTTGTCGCCGGTCGGTTGGCGGAGGGGGGAGGGGTGATTAACATGGAGCAGTGACCATAGCTTCCGCAGTTGCGGATACGAGTGAGGGAGCGGCGGGGTCATCGGCAGTTTGCGAGACTCTAAAGAAGTCCGCCGCAGGCGCCGATTTTTCCACACATTGCACATACTGCCCGCCGCAGGCGCTGAATTTTCGTCAAAGCAATGTGGGTGGGTCGCGGGTGGGTCGCGGGGGGATCGCGGGTGGGTCGCGGGGTTGGTCGGGGGGATCGCGGGGTGGGTCGCGGGTGGGTCGCGGGCGGGTCGCGGGCGGGTCGCGGGCGGGTCGCGGGCGAGGACGATGTCAGTAAGCAGAATTCACGCCTCGGAGTCCCAGTTCAGCCACGCACCGAGGGACGGTGTAAAGCCGTTCGGCCCCCCCATTCTGACGCCCAGAGAACTATTGGGATTCTGCATGCTTCGCGTGAAACAAAGAAGGGGGCACCCGTTAAGCCGAAGCTCGGGGCTAGCCTGATCAGACCAAGTAGTCAATCATACATGATTCCGGGTCGAGAGTTCACAGGCAACCCCTCCAGATGCGATGGGTCCCAGGATGGGATAGGGGACGACGTTGCCGACGCCGACGCTGGCGCTGAAGCAGACGTCGACGCCGACGCCGACGCCAACGCCACCTCGCCGCAGCCGCCGCCGCGACGACGACGACGACGACGACGGACTACGGACGACGGACGATGGACGACGGATGACGGTCGACGGACGACGGGCGACGACGACGAGGGCGATGACGACGACGACAATGACGTCGACGATGACGAACCACCCCACACCCACAGGGGGATGGCGGGGGGGTTTGCACCGACACGCTCCACCACGCCACGCCCACAGGGCCACGGCCACAGGGTCGGAGGGGGAACAATCCAATGCGCGAGGCCTTCGCGAGGCTCACGGGCGTACCCATCCAGCCTGGAGGGGGGGGGGTTCGATCCCATATGCATTGAAGGGGAGGGGGGGGCAATCCTGGATCATACATACCCTCGCGGACCCTTCGATATGGGAGCCTCTTGGACGCTTATTTGGACCATCTTGGGGACCTTTCGGGGCCATTTTGGAGGCCCTTGGGGCACTCTTGGGGCTCTCTTGGGGCTCCCTTGGGGCTCTGTTAGGGCTCTCTTGGGGCCTTCTTGGGGCCATCGGGGCCCTCCTAGGCCGATCCTGGACTCAATCGAACAGAAAAGGATTTGCGTTGATTTGCATACCCCGTCGGAGCCAGAAACATCGCCTCTTGGGGCCCTCTTGGAACGCTTTTGGGGACTCTTGGGGCCGTCTTAGCGCCCTTGTGACCTGCGGGAGCACTGTATCAACGCATGAAGGATTATGGTGAGGAGGCATAAAGGGAGGATACATATGGGCATGATATTAGCGCTCGGACGCATGTATGGTCTTGTGGGAGGAGGAGAGAGGTGGTGGTGGTGGTGGTGGTGGTGGTGGTGGTGGTGGTGGTGATGATGATGATGATGATGGTGGTGATGATGATGATGATGATGATGATTATGGCGATGGCGATGACGATGACGATGACGATGACGACGACGACAAGGACGACGACGACAACGACGATGATGATGCTGATGATTATGATGATGCTGGTGATGCTGATGCTGATGCTACTGCTGCTGCTGCTGATGATGATGATGATGTTCATTATCATGTTGATGATTATGATGACGATTATGACGATTATGATGATGATGGTGATGATGATGATGGTGATGATGATGATGATGATGATGATGATGATGATGATGATGCTGCTGATGATGATGATGATGATGATGATGATGATGATGATGATGATGATGATGCCGATGATGCCGATGATGCCGATGCTGCTGCTGAGCTGACACTGACAGGACGGTTCTGGCTCGGTTCGGTTCGGTTAGGATCTGAAGTGCCTTCAGTTCGCTCCGAACATTGGTTCGGGGTCGTCATCCGTCTGGTTCGGTTCGGTTCGTTTCGTCGATGTGAACCTCCCCGTCCAGTTCGGTTCGGTTCGGTATTTTTTCCCTTCGGGCTCGGTCTGGTTCGGATGTGGTGTTCGGATGTGGCGAGCTCGGCCAGAACACCCCCAGCGTACACGGGGGCCGCACCCCTGGTCCGCACCCCCGAGGCCGCAACCCCTCGGTGCGCACCCCCCAGCGTGCGCAGCCCGGCGCGCACCGCGGTGCGCGCCGCCCGGTGCACACCCCCCAGTGCGCACCCACAGGTGCGCACACCTCTCGGTGCGCAGACCCAGGTCCGCACCCCTGCTCTGCAGTCCGCACCTCTCGGTGCGCACCCCTCGGTGCGCACCGCACCGCCTGGTGCGCACCCCTGGTGCACTCTGGGGTGCGCAACCCCGGGTCCGCGCCACTCGGTGCGCGCTCGTTTGTCCGCACCCACGGGTGCGCGCCCCCGGGTCCACCCCCGAGTGCGCACCCCTGGTCCACCCCCCCCAGTGCGCACCCCCTGTTGCGCACCCCCTGGTGCGCCCTCCGTGTGCGCAACCCCCCTGTGCGCACCCCTCGGCGCGCACTCCGCCTGGTGCGCACCTCCCCGTGCGTACCCCCCAGTGCGCACCCCCCAGTGTGCACCTCCCGGTGCGCGCCCCCTGGTCCACGCCCCAGTGCGCATTCCCCGTTCACACCTCCCGGTGCGCACCCTCCGGTGCGCACCCTTTGCAGGTGCGCACCCCCCGGTCCGCACCCCTGGTGCGCACCCCCGGGTCCGCACCCCCCTGTGCGCAGTTCCTGGTGCGCACCCCCTTTGCGCACCGCACCCTCCGGGCTGGCAGTGCGTATCGGGAGGCTCATAGAGCGCCTAATGCGGCATCGGTTCGGTCTGGTTTGTTTTGGTTCGGTGCGGTTTGGAGAGGAGGTTCTTTCCTGGTCGGCGTCAAGTTTTGAAACTTGTTCGGTTCGGTTTGGAGGGGAAAAAACTGTTTCGGCATGCTTACAGCCTCGGGTGGTGCGAATTAGGTTGATGAGGCTGACGATGATGCGGACATGATTGTGATGGAGATGTTCATGTTGACGACGACGACGATGACGCCGCCGATGATGATGCTGAGGATGATGGTGAGGATGATGATGCTGTTGTTGATGACGCTGATGATGATGATGATGATGCTGATGATGATGATGATGGTTACGATGGTGATGGTGCTGGTGTTGGTCATGGTGATGCTGATGATGCTGATGATGATGCTGACGTTGATGATTGTAATGCTACTAATGGTGATGATGATGCTGATGCTGATGATGGTGATGATGATGATGATGATGGTGGTGGTGGTGATGATGATGATGCTGATGCTGATGCTGATGCTGATGATGATGATGATGATGATGATGATGATGACGACATCGATTGTAAGCATTCCGACGATGATGAACAGACGCCCGAGCAGGAGCAAAAGCATGAACATGACAAGGATGCGGAGTGGGAGGAGGATCAGGAGGAGGAGGAGGAGGAGGAGGAAGATGAGAAGTATGGGGGAGTAGGAATCATGCAGGCGGAATCTTGCGGGCGCCCGCCATTCTCTCATCCTTTTAGCTTCCCTCCAAGAATCGGCACACCCAGGTGGATATGTGTGGACACGATTAGACTTGTTGGTGAAGCACATTTCCTTGACTGCAAGGCCCGCTGCTGGGCTGGAATGGGATAGTCAATGGGTGGACGGGGATGTTGAGCTTCAGAGTGCGCGAACACGGTACAGGCGACAGCTTTGGCCAGGAATGGTAACGTAGGACGCAATTATGTGTAGTTTTCTCCCGCTCTTCCTTGAAAAGTTTTGCGCCTTGCGCCCGCATATTTCAAGGCTTCTTGCCACTTCCGACAGCCTCGCGGCTCCGCAGTGCTCGTGTTTTGAAGCCCGTTGGAGTGTTGCTCAGAATCTTTCGATGCTGTCTTGGGCTGTTTGGGGCCACCTTGTTCAGACGAGGCGATGTGAGTAGCGCACGTAAGCATAGGGATCCGCGAGCCAAATTTGTTGGCGGCCTGGATCGTTTCTACATGCTCTCACGAAGCGTCAGGCCACCTCAGGGGCCCTCCCTTTTTTTGGGGCGGCGGCGCCATCCGAACCCCTTGGAGTCAGGTCAAGGGATGGGAAGGCCGAGCCCAACATGCTGCGACGTCCAACAGCCTCGTGTAAAGCACCTGCAGAAGACTCGGGCGACCGTATCCTTTTCGAGATTTCCCCCATAATGAATAATGACATTTGGGCTGCAGAGTCTTCCGCCGCGTTTATCCGTGCGGTCCAGAGCGTAGTGATTTGGCACGAAACGGCCTCCCTGAGTAACCGATCGAGCAAGACGCCATGCGCCAGCCTTGGTACGGCGCTTCGGCACATACTCGAGAAATCCGTAAGGGCTTCGCCCCCTGCCGCCGGCCCCCTCTCTCGGATAATGGGCCATGGAAGAACTAAGTCATGAGGCCTTGGCGCTGTCGTGAAGCAGTATCGAAACTTCATGTGATGCCGATTCGCAATCAGCAAAACCAACTGATCACAAGAGGGGTTACCACACCTGGCGATTGGTAAGACGTGTATGGTTTACGGGCTTGGTTACCACACCTTGCGATTAAAGGGCCGAGGGAGTTCTCGCAGTTTGGGTTACCACGCCTTGCGATGGATGTGCGTGAAGGGTGGCACCGAATTTCAGAAATGTGGCAAATCCCCTGTGTTTTTGGACCCTGACCCCGCGGATCTGCGTGAGGGGTGGCACCGAATTTCAGAAATGTGGCAAATCCCCTATGTTTTTGGACCCTGACCCCGCGGATCTGCGTGAGGGGTGGCACCGAATTTCAGAAATGTGGCAAATCCCCTGTGTTTTTGGACCCTGACCCCGCGGATCTGCGTGAGGGGTGGCACCGAATTTCAGAAATGTGGCAAATCCCATGTGTTTTTGGACCCTGACCCCGCGGATCTGCGTGAGGGGTGGCACCGAATTTCAGAAATGTGGCAAATCCCTGTGTTTTTGGACCCTGACCCCGCGGATCTGCGTGAGGGGTGGCACCGAATTTCAGAAATGTGGCAAATCCCTTGTGTTTTTGGACCCTGACCCCGCGGATCTGCGTGAGAGGTGGCACCGAATTTCAGAAATGTGGCAAATCCCCTGTGTTTTTGGACCCTGACCCTGTGATATGGAAGACCCGCAGGGTCGGATATTGCTGATATCGTTTTGTCGAATGATCGCGCGGCGAATCAATCTGCGTAGCTCTAATGCCAAGGGCCCTAGTATAAATTTCGAACCGAAACAGGCAGCGGGAGAAAGGGTGAGAGCAGCAAGAGCAGGGGCAGGAAAGGATCGGGGAGTGAGCGGAAATCACACTCCTCCTGATCGGCGCTCGCGGCGCCGTCGAGCGACGATCACCGATCGCAGCTCACTACATTAGGCAGGGCGCTTCGCTGAGAGAGCAAGCGCTGACACACACCGCGGTGGGTGCTGGGCGCAGCATCTCCACCAGAACACAGGCAAACGGCCTTATCGGCATGCTATCCGGCTGCCTCTGGGCATTTAACGGGTGCTGCTACACGCACCGGCAAGAAACAAATAAATTCTCAGGCGAGCAGCAGCGCGAGTCCGATCGCGATGCGACAAGGCTCAAAAAGAACGCTATCTTATCGAGATAAGGTCTGAATAGTGTGGTCGTCACCACATTGCAAAAACAACTGTGCACACTGAATGAAGCTTCGAACGGGCTGTGGGTGCCGAGCGCGGCAGCTCCACAATCAAAACAATGCGGACTAACGTAGTCTGCCACACGATGTGGCGCCAGGTGTAAAAAAAACAAGCTAGCAAAACGGAGCAGAGCGGCGGCACAGAGCGGCGGCTTGCATCACGAAATCTTCTTCTGCATCTTCGCGTTGCCGGGCAACCCTTGAAGCTGCCTCCATCTGTTTTGCAAGTCCCAGCGCAGGCTGTTGTGCATCTTCGAAAAGTTGGGCTCGTGGATCATGTGATTCCGGCGAAGCCATGACGCGTGCTTCCGGCACGTCCTGCAGGTCACGTAGACGCTGTGTGGGTTGTGTCCCACGCGTATGTTGTGCTCGGCGATCACACAAGCGTTCATCTCCAACGGCGAAACCGTTGGCGTTGATCCGTTCCACGAAACCACGCTGGCTGACGAAGAACTGTGAACCGTCATCGGCGATGATGGCGCAGAACTCGCTCCCTGTGGCGATGGTGGCACGAAGCTGTCCGGTGATGATGGCGGCGCGGCTGGCGCTGCCGATCCGCTTGCTGATGATGAACTCTGGGCTGCAGCGGCAATCGTCGGCGGCTCCATGTGGACATCTCCGTCGGCGTCTTCGGGAATGGTAGGCGGTGCGTTGTTGCGGCGTCCAAGGTATCGTCCATCCCATCCTGGATATACTCCGGGCAAGGGGCTGTCCGCGTGCCCGGTGTCGTCAGCCTTGGACTCGTTGCTGGTGTTGTTGATGGTCCCGATCTGAATGGGATTGGGGTCGCCTGACCCAAATATCTCTCTTCGCATCACAAACCACAGCGCTGCGAACAATGTAAACCCGATCATGATTCCACTGAGCATCGCGATGAATGTCATGTAGCAGACCCAATATGATATCTCCTGCGAGGTAGGCTGTGCCTTCACGCGTCCGAGACATGTCATCAGCACTGAGGCAAGCATGGCGGCGTGCGGTTGCCTGGTGCCAAAGTTGTGCTTCTTGGCCCCGAAGAAAGCGAGGAGCACTCCGGTCTCCATGATCTTGGTGAGCGCGTCGGCGACCATACTCCACGTAGGTATCCACGAGAGCTTCAGCTGGCTGTTGGGGTGCACCGTCTCCTTAATCATCGATGCGACGATGCGGAACCGCTTGTCGGTGGATTGGCCCACGTCAGACTTGATGTGCGTAACCAGGCCGTTGCTGTCGCTGTAGATCTCCCCGGATCGTTTGGTGCTGAGGTCGTCGATCTGCTTGAGCGTCTTCTTCGGGTTGTAGGCCTCCGTGAGTAGCTGGCCGAACCAAGTACTCGACTCGGCGCCCTCCAGGGTGGCGTAGCCCTCGGCGGCCAGCGTCGACTTCACGGATCGCTTGACCGTGCCCGAATGCCAGGCCACGGGCAGGCACAAGTCATATCGTCCAGCCACGACGTCCCGTGGCTTGTGAGTTAGCCCAATCGCCATGCCCCACTGGCTCTTCACCCCGTCCACGTTGGCGAAGGCCGCGTCGCTGAAGCAGATAATGGTGCAGGTGCGCAGGTCGATGATGTTGCGCTTGATGACGATGGCGAAGTCGGCGGACCCGTGCACGTAAGCGACGGTCTTGTTCAGCGTCTTGGCGTCGGCCACGGTGGCGGTGTTGGTGCGGCGAGCTGCAAGGCTCACCGGGCAGGCGATGTCCACTCGCGTCTGTATTGCGAGCCAAAGCAGTTGACCGAGCGTGTGGCGATATCCCGAGACCTCCGAGGTGGTAAGCCGATCTTCTGGTGATCGTCCGCGTTGGGCGTTGAGCTCGATGAAATCCACCTGGGCGGCGGCCGTCGCCTGGGTAATGCGGAACTCCTCGTTGGTCTTGTTGATGGTCCGGCCGCAGTACTTGATGATGCCCTCTACCTTCTTGAGGTGCAGCTTCTTCTGCAAGGAGCTAATGACTCGCTTCCACTCGCTAGAGTTGCCGCGCTGGGCGATGAGAAAGTCGCCCACGTGGGAGTGGATCATGGCGGCGAGCCCTTTTCGTCGTAGAAGTAGTAAAGGCCCTTCTCGAGCTTGCTCTCGATGAGGCCGTGCTCCTGGAACACCTTCTGGGCGTAGAGGTACCACTGGCGTCCTGCATCTCGGGTGCCGTAGATGGCGCCGGTCGCCATCGCGATCTCGCCGGGCAGTGTGCCTTGCGGCGGGTTCTTGGCTGGCATGCGTAGCAGTAGCAGCCTCTCGATGTTGCCCGACTGCAGGTAGGCCGTCATCGCGTCGTGCGACGTGAGGTCCCAGTCAAGCTGGGCGGCGGCAGCAAGCGTGAGGTAAAGCGCGTCCCTTGACCCGGTCGGCGCGTCCGTGCGGATCTGGGACTTGTCCTCTTGGCAGCCCTGGACGACGAGGCGGGCCTTCATGAGGTTGGCGGCCTTCTGCGTGAGCACCCAGCGGGTACCGACTGGTCGTATTCCAGGGTGTCGCTTGAGGATCTCCTTCAGCTCCTTGGGCGGCAGCTTCTTGTCGGCCCCGAACTCGGTCCACTTGGACCACTCGACCTTCATGGCCGTGTCCATGAGCTTCTTGTCCTTGTTGGAGAGCTTGTCGTACTTGATCTCCTTAGCAGCGGCCTTCCCGGTGAGCATGACCTCTCGGAGCCGAATGGTCGAGTGCAACTCGTCGTCGCTGACCTTGAAATAGTTGTCCAAGTAGAGGTCGGTCCTGAGCGTGTCTTTTGGCCTCTTGAAGCACTTGGGTAGGTCGTCCTTGAGACTCCAAGAACTCCTTGCGCTTGGTGGCTTTGCTGCGGTCGTCTGTCTGGTCGAGCCTGTCGCGTTGAAGTGCGCGAGGTGCGTCCTCTTGTTGAGCTTGGCGCTGAGCCTTGTTGCCGCGTTGTCCTTCAGGATATTGTGGTCTGCGGGCAAGGGCTTCCCTGCGAACTTCCTCCTCCGCGGCCTTGCTCCAGTTGCGTAGCCCTTCGGATCCGGAGCT